TCTTCTGATACAAAGTCTAATATTTCATCACATACTTACCTGTACTTACCTTTACTTACCCAATGTCCATGAATTAGCCACGAGTGTTAGGAATGATTTTATAATAATTCACTTACAACTAAGTTAACATACGACTACTTACCCATACTTACCCAGTATCGACGGTCCATATGTGTTGTAGATGGTTTTATTGTTGGGAAAAAAACTATTGATGCGCTTCAGTATCGTGCGTTGTAACAGAAATAACGCGAAATGAAACCGTGGTTTGTCAGTGTGCCAATTCGGCGTTCGAGCATTTAGTGAGGCAAGTAGTCTAGCGCTCCCCTCAACGGCACAGATAAACCACTGGAGCCGAGTTACAAAGGACGCTAGATTACAAGAACCTACTTCGTCCTTTTGGACGAAGGCTGCAGTTTCCCGAGTTGACACACTGACAATGGAAGTTGGAAAATCTACTGTAGTGCAACAACAGTATCTATAGTAATAACGAAAAAAATCGGAGAGAAGGGAACCCTAATTTCATCCCAAGTTAAATAAAGGTGTCTTTATACAGAATGCGTTCACAGTGAATTTACAAATAATAACTATCTTATAATTATCTAAAACTAAACGTAGGCAACTTCAAACTAAAATGCACGCATTCCACGATATCCGTGCAAAATCTGTCGTCCATCGGTGGTCCGCTGGGGGCCTAATAGTTTACTTATCAACTAATTGTAACTACAGTTCAGTTTAGATCGTGAAATAAACAATGGACAGAAATTTTCATCATCTAAACTAAACTATAGATTGCGTAGTTCTTAGCTTGATATCATTTTACAAATATTACAGTTTGTAAAATGATGTCAATTACCAAGACCCACCACGTGGAGGTGACTACGCACGGGTCTCATTATAATGTATTGTAAAAAAGTACTCTTTTATATATTTATCACACAGGTCTCAACTTATATTGAATTTAAGTAATTTGTTAGAAAGAGAAATGATATTCGTAAAATAAGGTATAATTGTTTGATCGATCTAATGATTAATTTAATATATTGAAGAAATATTCTTGTTTGACAAATTAATAGTGGAGGGCTAAATTATTTTCCAAATTATAGATTCGAAAAGAAGTATTGAAAGTATGTAATAATATTTAAATAGCCATAGTATTGTTGGACTAATATTATCTATGTACATGCAGAAATGTAATGTAGTAAATGTAATGTAAATGTAAATGTAATTGCAGTAATTATTAATGAATGGTAACTATCAAAGTATATCTTGTACGATTACAAGTCATTGCAATTGAGCTCGTATTCAAGTTCAAATAATTACGATCAAGTATTACCCCAACATCAGAGGAGCCAAACCATGCAATTTACCGATCGTTGAAGTCGGAATTGTAGATTAAGGTTCGGTTGCGTTGGATTTGATTATGTTCGATACTCCTCAATTTCTTATACGCTGATGCACTTTCGACGTTTTCAACATTCTTTAAATGTTGGTTAATGTTTAAACAATTAGAATATTCAAAAATATTATTTAAAGATTCACTTCTCAAATTTGATCGATGCGTACGCGACGAAAGTTTAATTGGTAATGAGCTCTTGTCTTCCTGTCGGTCGAGATTAACTCGATCTTCCAGTCGTTAATAATGCGGAATAATTGATTAAAATTTCATAGAAATGTATTAGTGACTCGACTGTTGAAAATGATTAACTAAAAATTATATCTACAGCCTGTTCAGTGTCTTAAATGATTATAAACTTTTGATTTATTAAGCTTTTTTATTCCTTGATTTGTTCAGATTTTCTATGAAACCAGAACGCATCATAATTTTCGTAAATGTCACGGTATATGTGAATACTGTAACAAACATTGAAACTATCACGCATGCGATGTATGATTTCGTAAATTGCCGACACTGAAATATCTCTACTTCAGAAATATCCTTGACGTCTGACCTAAGTAAGATCATTTCACTCTCCGTAGAGTTCACGGCCACGGAATTTGTAGAGACATTGAAGAAACTGGTTTTGCCGACAAGGAAGATAAAGATATCCATAAAAAGTGCGCCTTTTAGCATCTCTGTGCAGTCTCTCTTTGTGATTATATTTCTGCTCAATTTTTTTATACGGTCGGTTAGTGGTTATGATTCACAAGTATTATAGAAGGAAAAAGAAAATCATCGAAATGAGAAATTTCCGATTAGTTTCAATTATTGGCTAACAAACTGTAAATTATTGAATGCTAAAACGCTGTTATATTCCATGAACCACAGTCCACGCTTCATTCGATAAATAATAATAAACAATTAATAATAATAATTGCGTGAATAATATACATGTTAATAAATAGTATGATAGAAATAAAATATGTGACTAATATATATTATTATGTATTTGGAATAGTGTAATAAAAAAAGGAAATGATATAATAGTGTAATAAGCACAAATATTAGAATATTAACAATGTAAATGGAATTAATTGTTCGAAAAATATCTTACATTAATCTATTAATTTAGAAATTAATTTACATACGAGTATTTCACCTGAATTAGAAGAATCGAATTTAGTAACATAGTTAGTACTCATAGAATACTTTTTTTTTTTTGCTACTACGTATTAATTATATTAACTCTCGATCTTTGACATATGTTATATACACATCTATTTAATTCTATGTAGTATATCTATTAAAAGTCACATCTATTTGCCAATCATGCATTCTAACAAGTAGTAGTTGATTTTCTGTTAGCAACGAGACAGACAACTTAATTACTAAATTAACAGGTTTGAAAAGATTGTTACAAATCTAAGGTGGCAAATGAATATGCAATAACAAAATGGTGTTTACCTCCGAGTTGTAATTTTTTTCTAGTGGAGCAGTGATTACCTCTTTCAAATTTAAATGGGTTTTTAATTACGCACTGGTGGATATGTCTGTTATAAATCTTGGTTGACAATTAAGAACAGAACAAAACTAAATGAGTGGCATTGGCACGGCAAATTCTAAGGATTTTTCGAATAATCAAATATCGAAATAATATTTCATATGCACCGAAATAATAATTTAATGTAATATGTAATGATAAATAACACATAATTTATTATATGTAAATAATAATAATTTATTATACTTACTAATAAGGCATGATAATTTAATCTATTGTGAAATGCACATATTAGAGTAAAACGAACATCCATTTTGTTAAATTATCGTTTCCTGTGAGAAAAGTTAAGAAGTACAGAAATGTTTAATTTTTAATGTTTAAATATGTCTCTTATTTTCTGAATTCTACTAGGTATGGATATCTACTGGTTTTTTATGACATTAAATTTCAAATAATATGTGTCTCGCTTGGTTCATCTTGATAAATTTCAAATAATATCCGTTTTGATTAACTAATGAGTAACAACATTGTTAGCAGGTAATTTAGAACAAGCTTTATCCTCTTACAATCAATTGTACGCTAACATGGCACTATAATAATATATATATAATAATTTTTTATTATAGTATTTTCAACAGAATAATTGAATATTGAATAATTCAACGTTTAATGTTTGTATTACATAAATATTATTAACAAATAATTGGTATAATATTTTATTCATGAATCTGTTTAATAATTCTGTGAATAAATTAATGCTGGGACAGACGTAATTGTCTAATTACCTTAATCAACAATTCATAAAAAAGCACATTATCCACTAATTTGAATCCTTATTTTAACTTGTTAAGTAGGATGAATTGACATTTGGAGGGGATAAAAACTGCAATAAAAACTAGAATAAGATCTTGAATGTGATTAGTGCAAAACTTTGCTGTTTTTATATTAACAAAGTACATGCAAATTTCGTAATCACAGCAAGTCTCTTTATATTAACAAAAGTAATACAAATTTTATACTTATCCGTGAAACAAGTATTTCACTTATTCGATTTGTCTGTCAAGGGAATGCATTGTTTCGAACAGACAACTTCTCATAAAAGACAGAATGGCGAATCAAATAAATCGCGTGAGAAATTTTAACTGTTTTGACACTAGCTACGTCAACAAACTGATTGTCGTCGTCTTTTAGTTTCGTTATGAAAATACATTCATTTCAATTCATCACGATAAAAACGAAGCGAATAACTTCATAATTTAAGATTCTTGCTTGAAGGTTCAATTCTAGATAATAATAAACTTCAAATTGTGGGATTTAAGAAGTTAAAATTTGCCAAGGGACAGTACGTCAAGGAATAGAAACTAAATTCTGAAAATAACTAAATTCTAAAGAATTCTAATCTCTAACTGTGGGATTTAAGAAGTTAAAATTTGCCAAGGGACAGTGCGAAACTAAATTCTGAAAATAACTAAATTCTAAAGAATTGTAATCTCAAATTGTGGGATTTAAGAAGTTAAAATTTGCCAAGGGACAGTGCAAAACTAAATTCTAAAGAATTCTAATCTCAAATTGTGGGATTTAAGAAGTTAAAATTTGCCAAGGGACAGTGCGAAACTAAATTCTGAAAATAACTAAATTCTAAAGAATTTTAATCTCCACGTGTACAAATACGAATGCTGCAAGTGGATTCTGAAATTGAAATGCGAAAAGCTACTGGAACATTTCCAAATCCGCGAGTTAAGCTTCAAGAAACAAAAATTGCAAATTACAAAGGCAAAATTGCAAAAATCCACGGCAGAAACTTTGAAATCTCTGCGGCAAAGAATAAAAATTGCCAAAGAACTCGGAAATCTGCGTTGAACAATTAAAATTCCCACCAAACGAAGAGAAAAAAAAAAAAAAGAAAAGAAGAAATAAAACAAAAACGAAAACTACCAGTCAGATGGATAAAGTGTATCAGGAGTGCAATTAACGAAAAAAAGGAAGCAAGGCACGAGGAAAATAGAATGAACGTTGAAAACAGGTTAGCCAATGACGCAGATATTCCGGGGAATCTCGTTCGTAGTAACGAGCGAGGAGTATTAACACGATTCACTGCACGTATATATATATATGTATTCGCTCGCGACTCCCATTCTCGGTCGCGCAGTGTTTTCGAGTTGGCGCGCAAGTCGACTCTTCGAGGCTGTTGTCGGAGTAAAACGACACGAAATCGTGGAAATCAATTTGGAAGCTTGCGAAACGCTTGACGTTGGTGTGAAGTTTCGGGGAAACGCTTGAAGAGAAATTAATATTTGGAGTCGAAGGAGACGAGTACTCGAGTTTGCTTTCTTTCCGGTGAGTGGATCGATCTGATCGATCGTTGGAAAAGTTTTCTGAAAATGTGTCAACAAAATGCTCAAAGGGGAGCATTTGTTAAAGTTACGAAATCACGAGGCTTGTATGGTGAATAATTGTGAAATCACGGTGAAAAAAACCAAGTGGACATAATAGTAATACATTATAGACAGTCAATCGCATTTTTGAGTGGGTATCAATTTAAAAAATTTCTTGAAATCTTTGCTCGGACGTCGTATCGATCCAAAAAACCGGTTATTCTAATTTCAATTATGAAATAATTATTGGAAATATCGGGTGGTCGCGATTAAGATACGCGCGAACGAATAAACTGCGTTAATCTTAGTCTATTAATGCGTTAATTTTAATCTGTTTATGGCAAATTAATTTCGACTGGTGCAAAAATACATGCAATGAGTAATAACGTGAGAAAAATATATAAAATATCGAGAATGGAGTAATCATTACAACGTATGATACAGTGAATAAAATAAATCCTCGATTAGATCTGTAATTATTTTCAAACCCAAGGGCACACAGATTTACAATTCACTAGCGAAAATGTAACCGACAGTATAACTTGGCTTTAATCTTAAAGTTAAAGTTCAATTCGATCAATTGGGGAGTTCAGGAAAAAAGAAAAAAAAAACACTTGCCCACCATTTTCCAAAAAAGCAAAAGATACATATATTTACTTCGAAATGTTCTTTTATGAATAATATAGCATATGATAAAAGGCACACGAGGCTTTATCTGCTGCATTATCACACGTAGACAATGTGTTTTTTTTTTTTTTTTTTTTACAAGTTCCGTTTAAAAGAGATTACAAAGTATAAAGAGTATGAGAATAGAATAGAGAAAAGCATGTGAAACGTCCATCGATAATTTCTTATTCAGAATTTCATTTCAATTGTTCTCAGCAACATGAATTATGTAATTATTCTCACAACAATCTGCATTAAAATTTCTCAATTTCATTCGTAACAGATACGCGCACGGTCCGAAACATAATTTTGCCCTTTTGTAATGAAACAATTTCGAATTTACGGTAACATCCTTTCCTTAATTCTGTAAACCCCAAGAAAAAAAAAAAAAAAAAGAAGTACAAACACTAGTGCTGTTTTCACATATTTTCGATTGATTATATTAATTTTTTTACAACAATATAACTGAACGAACAATATAACTGAAAGTTTTACGAGGGAAATTTTAAAACGAGCCGAGTTACATCACTGATTCAGAACGTTAGCTTGATAATGTTCTTGCAGTAGAGATGCATAAAAATTCGTATCGAAGTCAATTGAAATTAATGCGGTCAATTGCGATAACAATTATTGTTAAAAATGTTTGTCAGTCACGTGCCTCGTCACCTCGTCACCTCGACACGTTCGCTGATTTGATTCAAAAACTAGTGATTTTACGATACGAACGTCAATTCTTGAATATCGCGCTAAAGTTTCAATTTGCGTCTGACATTCAAATTAAAAGCTTGAGATATTTATGTGCAATATTTATGTATAATGCATGTATTAACTCACGTGTTATAAGTAAAATGTCACGATACTGACGTCGATGCAAGAAACTATAAATCACGGAACATATTGTGGAATAAATAATCATAATACATGTCGTATAAAATCGTGTTTGAAATGATAATGGAGCGAATATTAGAATTATTAGTATATTATTACGATTATTATTATTATTATTATTATTATTGTATTACGATTATTAGTAAGAACTGAACTGATTTAGAGAGTATTGCGAAATTTGCTGAATCCTTAAATAGTCACATGAAAAAAAATCTATTGTATACGCGACATCGATTGAACATGCTGAAATACTACGAAATAGAATAGAGCAAGGCTTCCGACAAATTCGAGAAACACCAGGAATGATAGAGAGAGTAACCAGTTCAATGACAAGACGCGTGAAGGCTTGTCTTTAAATGCAAGGTGGTCATTTCGAGCATCTTTTGTAAAAGTAGTTAAAACAGAAAATTCATTATGTCTCATAAACGAAGACAGACAGGACATATATTTATCTGACTTTTTTTCATTATTTTTAGGCGTACAATCAGCTCCCGAAAGGGGGTTCCACAAGTTACGAAACACCCTGTATAATCATAGATTATAGAATAGAATAATGAGATCAATTATAACTCATCATACACAGAAAAGTCCACGCGTCTGTTTAAATTTTCAATATTTAAAACATAGAGAAATCTATTCTGCGAATTTCATAATTTCGTCGTCAACATTAAACTAAAGATAGAAAAATAACGTTGGAATAATGTCTTAGGAGGAAATAGTAATTAAATAAAGAGTCGTGCTGCTTAAAATAACGTTGATGATGAGGCAAATGATTGATTGTACGTGTAAGGTGTTTCTATGCTTTTACTGCAAAACAAATTATCAGCGCATTCTATGAAAAGAAAAAAAAGAAAAAAAGAAAAATAAACGCAAAAAGTTGTAATAGGAAATGCTATTAAACCTCCTTATCGTTTAATATGGAGTAGATATGTATATTATCGATTTACGTTATTATTTCCTTAACTTCAATGCAAACCAGTAATCAACAGCCAATGCAAAAATGTTGATGCATAAATATATATATATATCAGGCAGGAATGTTCTTATGACATTATGTCCTATTATCATTTCGAATTTTTATTACAATTTTTTTAACAAAACACTTACGATAAACACACCTATGTTTGTATAAAAATTTTTCTTATTTTTCATTTTGGAATTATATATATAAAATTATTCTATTCAATTTATTTTATACATATATATATATTTAATATAAATATATATATATATATTTTTTATACGAATCCGAGGAAAAAAGACACGTTAATTAATAGAAGTAGAATAATAATTTCCGCGTCAGCTTTTTACATGGGTTGAATGCGGAACGGAAAGACGACATTGGAAAATGAATAATAAAATCACAAATGTATGCATACAGACGTATCGCACGTGTACATAATTATCACCAGAAATGGCAATGATCATTTATCTCCCAACTCGATCGAATTCTTATTTATGAATTACGATGAGCGTGAAAATTTGTGAGCCGCGGATCGAGACGAGAAAAAACAGGATTTTCCGTGCGATTATTTTCGATTACTTCTTTGCAACAGAAAAGAGATATAGTTACGATGTTTCACAATTTGATATGAAACTATAAATTTTACTATCTAATGACATCCACGTGTTCGCTAGCTTAAATTGCTGGTCTCACTAATAATAGGTACTGTCGCATGTTACTTCTGAGTGACACTTGCATGAACTTAGACTCGTACTTCAATAAAACACGTGATTCATGGTTTCTTGATTTCACACGCGTGTGAAATAACAAAAAGATAATGTCGAATATCATGGGTCATTCCCATAACGACCCTATTAAATCAAATGTATCGAAGAGTTACATTTCTGTGTTATATCTCGTGTCATAAATTTCATCATTTATTGTTGCAAACGCTCATTCATTGACCAAGAGACATACTTACATGCTTTCCTTATTATTTCTATCAGCTTCCTTCTTTTTCTTCTTTCTCGTATCAGTCCGGAATGTTTCGTACAGTTCACATTTACTTGGCAATCACAAAGTACATTTACACGTCGCTCTGCATTTCTTTGTCTCATTAGTCATGTGTATTTATTTATCTCTGATATGTAAACAACATGTCATATTTATTTATTACTTTGTCCACTATAACTTTATTTTATTTGTTTCGTAAGACAAATTATAAATGAGCGGATTGTGATTAATTGCAACCGACAGATGCAATCGTCAGGTTCATCTTGCAAATATGACGAGTGCCATGAAAATTGCTCAATTGAATTATTGCAGCGTTTGGCTTGCAATTAACTCTTTCAAAAGAAAGGATGATGCTCTATAATTTCATCTCCTATCCTTCCGAGGCTTTTTCGCATTTAAAATCTGTTTCGCGACGTACCGTACGATAGACTCGCGTCGCTTCGAAGTGAGCAAAACTTTATGTAACTGAACGATCTTATTGTTGCACTTGATTGTTGGTTACGTATACTAATTGACTATGACGTAGTAAGCAATTGCAGGAGGGAAAAAAAAAAAAGGAAAAAGGAAAAAAATGTGCAACGAGTTTTATTTCTCTGATTTGCTATAAAATTGCGAACATATTTATTGCCATATATAGGTCAAACGCGATAAATACGAGCGGTAATAATAGCGTGTATAATTGCGTTGCATTATAATTACTTAATTACTTGTAAGATAAAAAGTAAACTACGTTACTGGTCAATCTAGGATACGAAAATAGTCGCACGTACAATTTCATCGGACGATTGAAATTGCAGCAACAGAGTATTATATTATTGTTAGAATAAAAATAACTAACACGGATAAAAGCAACAACGTAGTAGGTACTACGTTTCAAGCGTTGATGATCATAAAAATTTATATCAATTTTATTAAAAGAAAAAAAAAAAGAATAAGATAAAACAAAATTCTTAATTTAGAAGAATGGAATTCCTAGTGCTAAAGTAAATGACTTTCACGTCAGATAAACATAATGCCAAGGTGTTACCAAGGCTCTACTTGCCTTGAAATCATCGTTGTGCAACGCGTTTCATAATATTCCTCCGCAATGTGAAAAGAGATGATGTTGTACTATTGTAAAGTCACACGTTGTATATTCTATGATAGTAAGGCAAAGAATATCTCTATCTTATCTACGGTCCTCATCACTTAGAATACTAAATTCTACTACACAGAACATTAGAGCATTAATTATAAAGTGTAACGTAGATTATAAATAAATCTGGACATACGTCGGTTTCATTTTCACAATCGGATATAAAACTATAATAATCTGAAATGAAATAACGTTCGAAGGGTATAAATTGTAACACTGCAATATTACAATTAACATACGAGATATCGAGGGAAACAGTACTTTATGTCATACTATAGTTAGTAGCTGATGGATCATCGAGTTTCGAAAATCAACTAATCATAAATACTTCTACTTCTTGTTTATTCCTTCACTCCGTTTTTTTCGTCAGGTTCTTGTTTTTTTTTTTTTTTTTTTTTTTTTTTGTTAATGGGAGTAAACCGTCGTTTCAATATGATTCATTTGCAAAAATAATTGGATAATTAATTGTTCTTGGAAG